ATGTATTAAGGATAAATAATGTATATACTGTGTATACTACTATACTAAGCCGCTACACATCGAGTAATAGGTCCAAAGGGCCTATCATTTGATAGCAGCCATTTCATGACAAAGGAGTCATCACCACTGCTCTACGTTCCACCGTCGTCATAGATTGCTAAGCCAACTCGTCCTACCTTTCACCTCCCCATTTCACTGAGTATGTGTGTTTGTACAATAAATATGTATAAACATATGTATCCAGACAGAATCATCCCATAAGTCCACCACACACTCAGGTATTGGCCAAGAAATGTACAAAACTCTTATCTGCTCATCGTAGTGCCACTAATGAGTATCACTGTCCTTACCACTCATTTTTGTCACCCTACTCTACCACCCGTGGTATCGAATGAAACATACTGAGCGGTCAAAGCTACATCGTAAATACCGAAGAAGTTAAGATTTTGATCGGTAGGTGACCTCTCTTAGGTCTCTTATCTTCTGTCATCAGTTATTATCGGCTCCTGTCACCGAGTACCTACGATTCCGTCAAATCTTACGCCACTTATCAAAATGCGGAGGTTTCACTGGTAATACGAAAAGCTGCAATCCTACCAAATTTGAACCTCTAGGTCCACGGAGCAGGAGTTATCAATTCCCGCTCAATCATCTATTTTGCGCGCACCCCGTCCCCTGTAGGCGGAGTCTGATGCTGACGCCTGCAATGAGTGTTCCAATCCTGCCTGCTGTACTCCTACCGAATTTCAACGCTCTAGTTCCACGTAAACAGAAGTTATGAATTTACGGCTCAAAGTTCCTATCGCGCACGGCCCGCCTTTCGTGGGCGGAGTCTGACCCTGCTACCTGTCATGGGTACACCCATCTTGTCCCCTTACTCCTACAGAATTTAAGCTCTCTAAGTACACCTGAACAAGAGCTACGAATTCCGGTCCGAAGCACACACGCACACACCGGTACACCAAAACACACACTTGGCGAATTATATGAAGTAGGATTTTCTATATTCTGTGTGTGGCGTGTTATGACGGTGACGTCTGCACTTCCTATATTATTGTGAAACATTTACTCCATCATCGCCGGAGCTATAATATACCACTGAACCACCCCACACAACCATTACTGGCGCTGAGCACTGATACTGGTTGGATCTAATTACTGAATAAAGTGCAATTCTCTATAATATAAACGTTAAAAGGTAGATGAAAAAAAAGAAACAGGAGCCAGTTGGCTCAATGGACAAATACTATGGACTGATGCAAATGATTTGCTCCACCGACTCAGAGGTTCTGGAATGGCATCCATAGGTGGTGAAGGGGTGTGGGTGGGTGTATGTCGTTTGGCGCGATGGCGGCGCGACTCCGCCCATCGCGCCTTCAACCCGTTCAGATCGCGTAATCTTCTGCTCTCCTCTCCTCTATACATGATAGAAGCCCAATCGAACATCATTAGAGGAGAGGAGAGCAGAAGATTACGCGATCTGAACGAGATGAAGGCG